GTCAGGTTCGTTTCTTCACACCGTTTAATGAGGAGTTCTAGGTTATGGAGACAGTGAGATAATGAGTCTCCATAAACCGAAAAATCATCCATAAACACCTCCATAATCTCGCCGACCAGGCGCTCAAAGATGGCAAGCATGCATCACTGAAAAGTGGCAGGAGCATTGCATAGCCCGAATGGGATCCTCCGGTAGGCAAATGTGCTGAAAGGGCAGGTGAAAGTGGTCTTTCCCTGGTCCTCCGGTGCAATGGGGATCTGGAAATACCCGGACATCCCATCCAGGAAACAGTAGAACTCGTGCCCCGCCAGCCTCTCCAGCATCTGGTCAATGAACGGCAGCGGGAAGTGGTCCTTCCGAGTGGCATTGTTGAGACGCCGATAATCAATGCAGACACGGTACCCAGTCACCGTGCGCATCGGAATGAGCTCATTCTTCTCGTTAGGAACCACGGTCATCCCACCCTTTTTGGGTACCACCTGGGTGGGACTGACCCACTCGCTGTCGGAAATGGCGAAGATGATCCCCGCGTCGATCAGCTTCACGATCTCCGCCCGAACCACAGCCTCGAGGTTTGGTGTCAGTCTTCTCTGTGGCTCTCTGACTGGCCGCATCTCATCCTCCAGCATTATCCGGTGGAAGCAAAAGGAGGGGCTGATCCCCCGGATATGATACCCCTAGGATGCACAATGGAACGGTCAGCTAACTGAATGCTCATACTAGTAGCTCTAGGTTTACCTAGGTCTAGCTTTTTAAACAATTTGTAGGGCATGACATTTATGCTAGCGCCTAGGTCCGCCAAGGACTTTACTACATGCATGCTACCAATAACAAGAGGGATAGTGAAACTCCCTGGGTCTTTACGCTTCTCGGGCAGCTTCTTCAGCAGGTACCAGAACACTCCTCGCTCAGCATCACTGTGAAAAGATCCCCAAGTTTCTTCTTGTTGGTGAGGAGGTCTTTCATTAACTTGGCATACTTGGGCATCTTCGACAGTGCCTCCACGAACGGCATGCTGATGTTGACCTGCTTCAACATTTCCATGAACTTGGCAAACACAGTCTCCATCTTGTCTTTATGTAGGCGAGTGGGGAAGGGAAGCTGGCGTACGTGCTCCTTAACCACTGGTTGTGGCTTGGGAGCAGGTGCTTCTTTGTCCATTCCCACTTATGCATTGTCAGGTGGAAGTGTTGAAATAGGTAGTGGCTCATCCTGCCTGGGCTGGGCAGGAGCAGTTGATGTGGACTTGCCACTCCTGGTACTAATGGCATCCAGCTGCTGGTGGGACTCACGAGGGTTCGGAATAGTGGTGGCAGGCAGAGTCCCCGGTGCCCTGGTAGTATTTTGGCCAGTTATGCCACCAATATGATTCTGTAGATCTTGCAAAATGGCACCTTGGTTCCTCTAGCCTGCCTCCAGTGAGGCTATGTTCTGGTCCATCCTCATGAAATTCGCCTGGCTGGTGGTCATGAATGCTTTCAAAATATTTTTCAGCTCCATCATCTAATTATCTCAAGCTACAGCTGCTGGAGGCTAGGCATACTGGCGCTGGGGCAGCTGGAATGGTTGCACCTGCCTAGGCTGGTAAGGCTGGTGCTGTGGGACTGGCTCTTGTCTAGCCTGGAAAGGCTGCCTTTGCTGAAAACCACCTGCTCGTGCTGAGAAACCAGCTGGTTTAGTGGTGTTGCTATTCCAAGCGAAGTTGGGATGCTGGCGCCACCCCTCATTGTATGTATTGTTGTATGGGTCAAGGCGCTGAGCATTGGCGATGAAGTCCAACTGCTCTTGGGGGTTAGAAGACTCCCGCATAGCCTGGCAGTCTTCCACCAAATAGTTCGAGCTCTCACACCACTAACATTGAGCTATTGGAGGTGTGCCCAGACCTCTGCCCGGAATAAGACTGTCGGGCTGCTTCAATGTCTGCACTAACTCAGCCACCTGCTGCTCGAGCCCGGACCTGGCCTCCATGGCGTGCACACCACGATCCCGGGAATTCATGCCTCTGGTGCTCTGCCCCCAGGAATGATCTCTGGCAGCCAAGGTACTGATCATCTGGTTCAGTTTGGGTGGAGTCTAAGTAAGAATATCCCCTCCTGGGCATAGAGACTCAATCACCCTGGCTTTCCAGAGAGAGAGCACTGTAGAAGTTCCCCATGGTGAATGCATCACTGAAGCCATGATGGGGGCACTGCCAGAAAAATCCCGAGTACCGCTCCCATGCATCACGAAGTGACTCATCTGGCTCTTGGGGGAAATGAGTGATCTCCCGCTAGATCTCTATGGTCTTCGATGCTGGATAGTACCTGTGCACGAACTTGTCGGCCAGTCCCAAGAAGTGATGGACAATGGGGGCTGGGTCTCCAACCACCTCTTAGCATGCCCCGCCAGAGAATGGGGAAAGAGGTGAAGGCGGATTGCATCATCAGGGACACCATTCAGCTTGAACCCGTTCGTCAGCTGCAGAAAACGGGAAAGATGCACCCTTGCCTACTCATCCTTCAAGCCATGAAACTGGATAGAGGATGTAATGAGTTGAATCCAACATGGCTTGATCTCGAAGTTGTTCGCTGGAATGGGTGGGTAGAGGATGACAGGGCAGATATCAACAACCCGTGGAGAGTAGTAGTACTCCAAGGTGGGACCCGACGGCGGTGGTGGTTGATGCTGAACCCCATCTACCTGGGGTATGGGGTTGTTCCCCAAGATCTGATTCACCGGGGGAACCTGGAGAGGCATCCCCTAGGGCGGGTTATGTTCACATTCCATCTTGTTCTCGTCCTTGGAATCGCTGATCAAATGGACGTCTATGCGCTCCTCTGTAGTCAGTCTAGCTTGCTGTTGTCCCCTAAGTTGGCGACATGTGCGTTCAAGCTCTGGATCCAACGGCAGTAAACCTCCTGACTGGCTACGGGTCATGCACTACCTGCACACAGTCAAGCAGCAAACCCGTGAAGGCACAAGTGTGACAAAGCAAACAATGCTAAAAAGAAAATCTAAACTAACAGAATTCACGTTTCTTCAACAACCTAGCCGTCCCCGGCAACGGTGCCAAAAACTTCACTCGCTGTTGGTTGCGTCGAGCGCGAGACTTTTATACCTGTCTTGTAAATAACTTACTCACAACACACGAATTAGTATGATTAAGAACCCTAATTTATTTTTAACCTAACTAATTCAAATCTGACTTAGTTTATGATATATTCCAAATCAAATAAAAATCCCACCAATTCACTTTCCACTTTAATTGGACTAGCAATCTTATACCTACACTAGCAGACTCACGGGTTCTTAAATCCTATTGTCTTGAGAACTTAAAGCCCACTTGCAACCTAGCAGAGAAGAATAAAACCGACCCAGTCCAACCAAATAATCGATCCGTTCCAATCTCTAAGTAACCAAAGCAAAACGGCAGAGTATAAGCAAAACTCAAAAACTCCTTCCTGCTCCAGAGATTTCGATCAAAAGGGACCTGTTTCCTTTTGACTCAAGAACAAAGAAAGAACAGCAATATCACAGCAGTAAGAACCTAGGCAATGAAGAGCTAAATTCACCCAAAATCAAGTTCAGAGAATTCCTCAATCCTAACCCGCTCTGTCGCCTTTTCCAGGCAGATTTTGATTCGAGTTTCCTGCAAAATAGAGCCTGGAACAGAATGCAAACAGAGGCAAATATAAACTGCAAAATGAAAACCAGAAGGCACACCCAACACACGATTTTTACGTGGTTTCCAGTATTGGGAGAATGAGGATCCCAATACTGACTATTCCACGGTCAGAGAATCACGATCGAGTGATCTCTGACGATTCACTATGATATGGCGTTGAAGTTCTTCTTTACAATCAATCTACCAAGAGCCCTTTGATCAATCTCTACCCGATTGATCTAACTCTCTTTTCTCAAACCCGAATTGCTTCCCCAGCAACTCGAAACCAGTGTTTCCCCAACACTAACCCTCAAAGCGATTCTCCCCGAACCCTTTGAGAAACCCCTTTCCTATCACTCTAGCTATTCTCACAAAATCCCCTTTTGACTTAGCTAGTTTTTTTGATCTCTTGAAAGGTTGCATTGCTCTTCCTTCAAATCGCCTTTTATAGGCTGCCAAGTAATCGTTGCTAATTCAAATACCTTCCCTTATTAGTGATGATTTGATTGAGATTCCATCTTCTGATTTGATTCGAATTATTGTACCAAATCTCCTTAATTTGATCTCTCCTCTTATTTTCTTCCTTCTTTCCATGTTTGTTCCTAATCTTCTTTCCTTCTCAAGTGGCCTTTGACTAGCTTGTTCCAACATTCTCCCCCTAAGCTGTCAATGGCCAACATTCTCCCCCTGAACAGGATGTCACTAACTTCATACTAAACTTGTCAAAGCTTCACTCTTAATCTGCTAATAATCAGAACCTGCACACTTAAGCAAACCGTTGGTGTAGCCTGTCCAACAAACAACTAAGAGCTATCATGAGTTGAAAAGACAACTGGGAGTCCATTTTTATTCGTAAAAATAGTAATCAAGGTACATTCAACACAGTGACTCAACATGACAAAGTTAAACTCATTCAAGCAAAGAACAATGACCCAACAGACTATGACTCAAACATAAAAGAGACATCCAACTTCTACTTGATTAAACCAACCCACTTCATAAAGGAGACAACAGACTTTTACCACACCATTCAACTAACTCTAATTCATCTATGGATCTCCCCCTAAGCCTAGTAGTCGACGGTTCCTAGTAGGCGTAATCCGGAGACGAAGCATACTCTGACGAGTCGTCTTCATTAGGTTTGGATTCAGGTTCGGATTCAGACTGAGCAAATTTGTCTCCCCCTTGAACTTTGGCAAGTTTTCGAGGTCCAAGCTCCGAGAGAGTGCGGCGTAGAACATGTTGGGCTTGAAGGTCTGAATGTACATCCATTTTAGTAATTTTTCCACGCAAATCAACCCCTAAGATTGCTAGCAGATAGGTGATTTGTGGGCCAAAAGGCAGCTTCCTACTACACTCTTCATCTTGATATTTAATCATGTGATTAAACATCAGGGAGGCATAGCTGATCGGGTAGCTTGTCTTTGCGTTGAACAGAATCCAGAGATCGGACTCGTCCAGAATGGTGGCCTATTCAGCAGCGCGAGGGAGAAACACGTGAGTGATGTAGAACTGCAGGGCCTTCAGATCATCCGGTAGCCGCTCAACGGAAAACATCGAGAGCTGGTGACTCCCGTAATCACTACCTAAGTAAGACATTGTGTCTATGGGGTGGAACCCATAGCTGTCAAAGTCTTCTGCAGTTCCAGCTTGGTAACCACCATGAGGGAGATGCAACAGGGTAGCCAACATATCAGCAGTAACCGTCACACTGAAATTGTAGACGGTGGTGGTGAAATACGACGGATAACGTCTAGGACTGCACTGCATACTCGCGTAGAACATTCTCACAGCTTCAAGGCACTGATCAAGGAGTCGATTCTGAAGCAGAGAACTCCACTCAAGGTCATTGATATATCCATTAACCCTCAGTCTGTACCGATTGAAGGTGGTAGGAGGGATGAGGAAATTAGAGATTTGCTCGAACAGAAGCTTAGGGATTTTAGGCAGTCGCTGAAAAAGGAAAGGCGCCACTATTTTGCTGAACTGGAATCACACGAGCGACAAAGAGAGTCTGCTAGGGTGGAGATTAGGCTTATGCCCACAACCCGAGTGAGCGGCGCTAGCAGAGGATTTCGAATGAGGGGACTGAACAGGCAGGAATCTCACGAAAGGCTGGGAGATGGACAGGAGAGTGAGCTGGGCTTAAGCCCACAAGGCCTGGTGAGGGGCTTAGAGAATGAAGGCCGAGGACACACATTGAATGTGTTTAAGAAGGCTTAGCCCACTGATTATGATCAGACCAAGAGGCCATAATCAGACCTTGAAAAGCTTAACCTAAATAGTTAATTTCACTAGCCAGAATAAGCCCTAGTTCTCGACGAATAGTTAGAAATTGGTCAGCACATAGAGGTTTAGTGAAAATATCGGCCCATTGATTTGTTGTAGGCACAAACTCAAGCTGAATTTGGCCTTCTTCAATCAATTCTCGAATGAAATGATACCTAATTTCTATGTGCTTGGTTCGAGAATGTTGCACGGGATTTCTTGCCATGTTAATGGCACTCATATTGTCACACAATACGGGCATGGACTTTATTTCTAACCCATAGTCACAAAGTTGATGCTTCATCCAAAGGAGTTGAGTACAACAGAGGCCTGCGGCCACGTATTCAGCCTCAGCGGTGGAGAGAGCAACAGAACTTTGTTTCTTACTAAACGAAGACACAAGTGAATTTCCTAGAAATTGACATGTCCCGGAAGTACTTTTACGATCAACTATGCATCCAGCATAGTCTGAGTCACTATAACCAATTAACTCAAGACTTGACTCACTATCATACCACAGACCTAGATCCATTGTACCCGCCAAGTAACGAAAGATTCTCTTGACTGCAGTCAGATGACTTTCCTTAGGGGCAATTTGAAATCTAGCACATAGGCATACACTGAATTGAATATCGGGTCTACTAGCAGTAAGATACATTAGTGACCCAATCATTCCTCTATAGAATTTCTCGTCAATTGACTTGCCCGACTCATCATTGTCTAGTTTAATTGTAGAGGCCATAGGTGTATTTGCAGTTTTTAAATTCCCAAGTTCAAAACGTTTTGACATATTTTGAATGTACTTGGTTTGACTAATGAAATACCTCGAGTTGTTTGTTTAATTTGCAAACCTAAAAAATATGTTAATTCTCCCATGGCCCTCATTTCAAAAGTTTTCTTCATGATACTTTCAAAATACTCGCACAACTCTTTGCTAGAAGATCCAAATATAATGTCATCAACATATATTTGAACTAGAAGCATATGTTGTCCTTTATTTTTTGTAAAGAGAGTTTTATCCACTGAGCCTCTTTTGAAGCCTTCTCCTAGAAGAAAAGAGCTAAGTTTTTCATACCAAGCTCGAGGAGCTTGTTTAAGACCATATAGAGCCTTCTTTAATTTATAAACATGGTTTGGGTATCTAAAGTCTTCAAAACCGGGAGGTTGTTCAACATACACTTCCTCTTTTAAATCCCCATTTAGAAAGGCACTTTTGACGTCCATTTGAAACAGTTTGAACCCCTTAGAGCTAGCAAAGGCACATAGCATTCTAATAGCCTCTAATCTAGCTACCGGAGCAAAGGTTTCATCGAAATCAATTCCCTTTTCTTGATTATACCCTTTAGCTACCAATCTAGCCCTATTTCTAGTAGCTACCTCATTTTCATTTGACTTGATCTTGTAGATCCACTTAGTCCCAATAATAACTCTATTAGGGGGTCTAGGTACTAACTCCCACACATTAGCTCGTTCAAACTGACTCATTTCATCATTCATAGCAGCATTCCAATTTTCATCATTCAAGGCATCTTGCACGTTTTTAGGTTCAATCAATGACACGAAAGCAGTATGCACAATTGAATTTCTAGAGCGAGTGACCATACCTTCATTAAGCCCGCCTATCATAAGTGAAGAAGGATGGCGTTTGACAATATGGGGAGGAGGTTGTCTTACTTCATGGTCTTGCTCGATTGGAGAGTTTGTAGTACTTACTTCTTTATCTTGGTCTTCAGATGTGTTCGTTCTGGGTTCAGATTTCTCCGTGTTTGATGTCCATGGTAGACCAAAGCTCCCACCAAGTCCAAAGTCATCTTCATCTATCTCATCTGAACACTCATTAGCAGATTCATCAAATATCACATTTACGGACTCTTCCACTTTGAGAGTCCGTTTATTGAATATTCTATATGCTCTGCTAGTCATGGAATAGCCCAAAAACACACATTCATCGGATTTAGCATCAAACTTCCCAAGATGATCTTTGGTATTTAGTGCAAAGCACTTGCAACCAAAGGGATGGAAGTAACTCAGATTGGGTTTTCTTCCTCTCCAAATATCATAAGGAGTCTTCTTAATTCCAGATCTGATCAAAGCTCGATTAGTAATATAGCATGTAGTATTGATGGCTTCAGCCCAGAAGTACTTAGGCAAACCATAGTCATGTAACATTGTTCGAGCTATGTCAATCAAAGTCCGATTTTTCCTTTCCACCACTCCATTTTGTTGCGGAGTTCGAGGAGCAGAAAAATTATGACTTATCCCTAGCTTATTGCAGAAGAGTTCAAACTCTTCTGAGATAAATTCTCCACCATGATCACTTCTGATGCTAGCAACCTTAGATTGTTTTTCATTTTCCAATTTCCTAGTTAGAGTCTCAAAATTTTGAAAAGCTTCACTTTTGCTGGCTAGAAACAATACCCAAGTGAAATGAGAGTAGTCATCTACAATTACAAAAGCATAGGACTTACCTCAATAGCTTACCACATTGGTTGGTCCGAAGAGATCAAGATGAAGTAGTTCAAGTGGTCTCGATGTAGATATTACCGTCTTACTCTTGAAGCTTGACCTTGTATGCTTCCCTTTAGCACAAGCATCACAAAAGAATTCCTTTTTGCCTTTTAACTTAGGCAGGCCTCTGACTAGCTCAAGGTCACTAAGTTTAGACAGAATTCCTATACTCACATGTACAAGCTTCCTATGCCAATCTATTTGATCATTCTTTTCTAATGACATTAGACAAGTTACCTTGAAACTTTCTTTATCATCTAGATCTATGACATATAACTTATTTTTACGTCTACCGGTGAAAAGCACTTTCTTATCCACCACAGACTCGATGTAGCAACAATCATGTTCAAAAACTATCCTCTTATCTTTGCCACACATTTGACTAATAGAAAACATATTATGCTTAAGACCTTTTACTAACATCACATTTTCAATGCATGGATCTGAACCAACTATTCCTCTTCCTATTATGTCGGCAGAATTATTGTCACCAAAAAATACCTTACCACCTTTACCTTCTTTGAGAGTGGTGAATAGGTTTCGATTTCCCGTCATATGGTGTGAGCATCCACTGTCTAGTATCCATTCTGTTGCCTCCATGCTCACTTGGAAGCAAACCTCGTTTGAGTTATGTCCTTCTGATGGCTTTTCAACATCAATAGCCATGTAGCTTTCTTCTCTTGTTTCCTCTCCATCCTCATCTTCTTCTTCGCTGCAGCTCCATGTTGCAGCCATGGCTCGTTCTTTTCTTGCTAGAGGACATTCAGCCTTGATATGCCCAGTTTTTCCACATCTAAAGCATCCGGTAGTGATTTGACCCTTTCCCGGCTGAGGTTGTTCAATCCTGCTTTTGTGGAATGTTCTTGATTTAGGGTATTTTGATGTACCACCTTCTTTCTCAACTTCTCTATTCTTGTTGATAAAGTTTCCTCTTCGTTTTTCTCTTCTTACTCGAAGTAGTCTACTAATTTGTTTGCTTAGTAGAGCCAATTCTTCATCCTCCATATCATCGAGATCTTCTGTGTCTTCATTGTATGTGGTAGCCTTGAAGGCTATCCCCTTTTTTCCCTTATCATGATTTCCCTTGTTGAGCTTGTCTTCATGAGTTGCTAATGACCCGATGAGTTCATCTATAGCTAACTTCTCTAAATCTTTAGCTTCCTCTATTGCGGTTACCTTAGGAGTCCATTGCTCTGGGAGACTCCATAGAATCTTTCTAACAAGATCTCCACTTTCGTACGATTTTCCAAGATTCTCCAAGCTGTTCACAATGTTTGTGAAACGCTCGTACATTTGCCGGATTGTTTCTCCTTCTTCCATTTTGAACAACTCGAATTGCTGTTTTAAGGAATTAATTCGACAAGTTTTTACTTGAGATGTACCTTCATACGTAACCTGAAGTTTATCCCATATTTCCTTAGCAGTCTTGCAACCGGTAACTTTGTGATATTCTTCTGGACCGAGAGCGGAGTACATGAGATTAGTTGCCTTGCACTTTTGCTGAAATTTCTCGAAGTCCTCGTCAGTCCATCTTTCTTGATCCTCTTTGAGCTCATACGGACCCTTGATGACTCTAGCCCAGAGTTTTGGATCTGTAGATCCAACAAATAATTCCATGCGATTTTACCAATATCCATAATTAACTCCTTCAAACCTGGGAGGTCGATTTTGAGAAAATCCGTCAGCCAAATAGAGTGGAGCATTATTCTTGGAACCCGACGCCATTTCGATTAGCACCGGAGGTCGTTGAAACTTGTTCTACGATGACCGTGCTCTGATACCACGTGTTGGTTGCGTCGAGCGCGAGACTTTTATACTTGTCTTGTAAATAACTTACTCACAACACACGAATTAGTATGATTAAGAACCCTAATTTATTTTTAACCTAACTATTTCAAATCTGACTTAGTTTATGGTATATTCCAAATCAAATAAAAATCCCACCAATTCACTTTCCACTTTAATTGGACTAGCAATCTTATACCTACACTAGCAGACTCACGGGTTCTTAAATCCTATGGGCTAGAGAACTTAAAGCCCACTTGCAACCTAGCAGAGAAGAATAAAACCGACCCAGTCCAACCAAATAATCGATCCGGTCCAATCTCTAAGTAACCAAAGCAAAACGGCAGAGTATAAGCAAAACTCAAAAACTCCTTCCTGCTCCAGAGATTTCGATCAAAAGGGACCTGTTTCCTTTTGACTCAAGAACAAAGAAAGAACAGCAATATCACAGCAGTAAGAACCTAGGCAATGAAGAGCTAAATTCGCCCAAAATCAAGTTCAGAGAATTCCTCAATCCTAACCCGCTCTGTCGCCTTTTCCAGGAAGATTTTGATTCGAGTTTCCTGCAAA